AAAAAAAAAAAAAAAAAAGAGCGTGGTTCATTCCGTGCACAGGGATCTGAACTCATCGATGACATTAAATTCCTGAGTCTCCTTTATCACTGACGGATGGCTGCTGTCCACACACTTGACGCACATTCGGAGGGATGCTAAATGATGAAAGGGGAGTGGCGTTTGTTCCCACGCGTGTGTATCTGTGCGTGTGTGTGTGTGTGTGTTATGTATATGGGCGGCTTTCACCACATGATACATGGCGCTACTTAGCGGCCCTCTCAACCACCGTCGGCCGCCAACCAGCGGGGCCTTTTTAAGGACGTACCTTTCGTCTCTTCCGCACCAATTGCAGTGTTTAGCTTGCACCTCGCGTATGGGTAAACCTGAAAAAAAAAAAAATATATATATATATATAAAAGTGCAACGGAACGAAGCCTATTGGGGCAAAAAAAAAAAAAAGACCCCCCAGGTGCGCTTAAAACTGGAGTCCCAGCCGTTCCTTCCTTCTCCTCACATGGCATTCATTCAGCTTAAACGGGTCCGTGTATCCTATTCCTTCCAATTTTATATTTCTCGTTCCGTTCTCATCTGTGACGGTCAGGTAGGACACGTAGACTCGTGCGAAATTGGCTTCCTCAGGAATTTTTAAAACAATCTGGGGGAAATCGGCCCAAGGGTGGGGAGAGAAAATAATATACACCCTTATATACACTAAGCAGTTGCGCAACATCAACACGCACACACACTTCGTCGTATGGCAGTGGAGGATAAAATAGGTCACGGGCCCCTTACCTCCTCGTTGAACTCAAGTGAGTAGGCCTCCAGGATGTACTGCCCTCGGACGAAGGAAGAGTTGTAGTTGGACCTCGACATGGACTGCACAGGGGAAAAGGGGAAAAAATAACATAAATATGAAAAGGCCTCTCCTGCAGTCAGGAAAGTATTATGCCCCATCACATTTGTATGATCCTCTTCCTACGTCTTACCGTCTTCACATCGTCGTTGTCGAATATCACCGTGCAGAAGAAATATATATCTCCATTTTCCACCTCTGGTAAGTTTATTCCTCTTTGAAAAAAAAAAAAAAAAAAAAAAAAAAAAGTGAGGTCACGGAAGAGAGACCTACGTATAGGAAACACAAAAACGGGGCAAGAAACACCTTCTCTCTCTCTCTCTCTCCCTCTCTGCATCATCTCCAATCTTTTTTTTTTTTTTTATAAATACCTCAATTCTGAAATGACGAAAATAACTTTGCACGCATCCTTCCTTTCCTCTTTTTTAAATATTTTTTTCAAAGAGTCTTCTGTCATCTTGTTCTGGTTTTTATCTAAATTGGAGAAAGGAGGGGAGAGACAAAAATGTGCATATGAAAAAGTAGGGACATTTTGTTGCCAACGTCATCTACGCACATTACACCAAGTGCCACGCTGAATCATCACTGTGTGCAGCGTCAAACGTAATGGAAAATGTATTTATCTTCTCGGGGAGGAGCAATAGGAGTAGGAGTAAGCGAGGGCGGAGGCGAGCTAGGCTGAAAACATCTTTGGCGGCTACACCAAATTTGAGGGGCTAAACATCCTGTATGAGCACTTCAACAGCGAACACACCTCGTAGTAACTTCCCAAAGGAGGTGCAGTTTCACCATTTAGTACAGAAAGAGGTAGGGAAGGCAACATGCCAAGTTCTGGTCAGCATCGCCGTTAGTATATGATGTGTAACTTCCCCGCATGATTTTTCTTTGCACACTCTCCTCCGTACAGTGGCCTATCGGAGCGCGCTGCCGCTCCCCATACACGTTTGTGTTACGTTTGCGTTACGTTTGCGTTGCGTTTGCGTTTTGTACATATGGTTTGCACACAGGTAGACGTGTCATACGCATTCGAGCCGAATGCTGCAACGGTGAATGCCGTTCAGGTCTCGCCTTTTACCTCCCGTTGGACGAAGCCCCATGAACTGTCCTCCATAATTCTTGTTGTAAGACATTTTAAAAAACAAGTTTCGGCGTTGGTTTCCCGTTCGTATGAATCCTCAGAGAATGGCGGCGAATACGCACAAGTAGTTTTTTTTTTCCTAATGACTTGGCGGGTTCTGCAGTTGGGCAGGTTGAAGCGTGAGCAGTTGTGTACACAAGTGTGTGTGCATAAAATATATATGTATATTTATATGTTACAAATATTTACGTACGAGTTTCCCCATTTTGAGGACATGCAAAATTTTTACCGCTCAAAAGATGCGTTTTTGAAAGTATAATCAAATTCGTTTGTCACTTTCTTTTTTTTTATGCAGCCAGTTTCCACGCTTTTGTTCTGCTTATTTGTCATTCAATTTTTTTTTTTTTTTTTTTTTTTTTTT